CCCTTGAACCTGCCACAGGCTTTCCTCATTCTTCTTATTTATGAAGCACTTAAAAATTCTATTTTGTACTGTGCGAAGGATGAAATAGGCAGAATGGCTGCCAGAACGGTTTACAATCTAGCAGATGTGGCATAAAAGGGAAGGGATGGTAAGGGAAGAAGAGGACACGGAAACACAGAGGGTTCTGGTGGATTTGCATAATGGCCAGGTGGAAAGGCAGCTGATGTGCTTCTTCGCGTACAGGTTGCAATCTGTTCCCTCAGCATTCAGCAAAGCCTCAAGTCCCTCTTTGTCTGCTTGCTTTTGGGTTTGTCCTCGGCTACCACCTGTGTGGGAGCATCACATATGTAGGTTCAACCTTGTTTTTCCTCTCCTAAGACGGAATCTGAAGTCTTCTTGAAATGCTTATTGGGCAGGTGCTGCAAACTCTGTGATGGAGGAGAAAGGGCATACCCACCCCCGCTTCTGCCATGCTCTTGAGATAGTCTCTTTGCACCCACAAAACTTTTAAGTCTCCTCCACACACACAGTACCCTTGGTCACAAGGTGATGAGAGCAATTGCCTTTTTCTCCCTTGAGAAGTACATAGACCTGAAAGAGGAAGTTGGAAAAGCGACAGTCTATCCCACTTCCTTTTTCATCTCTATCTGCCCGTCAAAGGCTCAGGTTAATTCTACTAGATCTGACCCATTGGGAAAGTGACGTACACTGTGTACCTTTCCTTTTCATGTCTTTACAGTGGGGTGCTGAACCAGGAGTGGGTGGAAGTGAACTGACAGCACTCAGTCACAAATCCAAATGGGCCCAATGAGCTTAAAAGGGTTGGCATACATGACACATTGCAAGCTGATCCATGCAAAATCCTAAACACACTGTCAAAAAAGGGAAGAAATGACAACAGAAATGGTGTGGGTTAAACCACAGAGCCTAGGACTTGCCGATCAGAAGGTCGGCAGTTCGAATCCCTGCAACGGGGTGAGCTCCCGTTGCTCGGTCCCTGCTCCTGCCAACCTCGCAGTTCGAAAGCATGTCAAAGTGCAAGTAGATAAATAGGTACCGCTCCGGCGGGAAGGTAAACGGCGTTTCTGTGCGCTGCTCTGGTTTGCCAGAAGCGGCTTAGTCATGCTGGCCACATGACCCTGAAGCTGTACACCGGCTCCCTCAGCCAATAAAGCGAGATGAGCGCCGCAACCCGAGTCAGCCACGACTGGACCTAATGGTCAGGGGTCCCTTTACCTTATATTGTTCCCCTGTTTGTGGGAAGTCCCTTTACCTTTTCCTTTTTTTGGCTTCCATGAGGACCCCATCACTCATGTTATGTTATGTATGTGGTGGAAAGGAGGGAGGCATAGCTGGTCCTCTTCCACACAGATAGCAGCACTGGTCCAGTAAGTGTCCGAACCGGGCTTGTACATCTCTTTCTTTCTTTCTTGTTTGTTCCGACTACGGATGGGTTACAACCTGATATGTCACTGAATTATGCCACACTTGGCCCCAGATATCATAGCCTGGGCTAGTAATTCTCACCTCAAGGAAGAGACAAGCATTGCAAACCCCCAAGAATTCTTCTTCCGATAGGATTAAAACTCAAGCTCCAGAAGAATCCTTGGCTCATCACCACCCCACTCTCCAAACTGAAACCCCCTAAAACAAAACTTTTGCAGAGTCAGGAGAAGGACTGCCTAGACCACCCTTGACCTTGCAAAAGCTGTCAGTTGAGGGCAAGGGATCTGGGAGAAACTAGACCCATTTCCCAACTTGTTCGATGGGACGGGACGTGTGGGACGGGGACAGCTAAGGTTGCTTCATGGTGCTGAAGTAGTAAGTGAATAACAACGTAGGACAATGATCCCGGATAATCTGACCGTTTCGCTGGAATCTTCTTCAGCACAACCCATAAATTAGAAAAATGCACAAGGAGCAGTGGTCATGAGAATATGTAACCACTTGCTACTTCGGCACCGTGAACACCTTAAAAAGTTTTACCGCTTAGCCCACAGGATAGCATCTATTACTTTGTTTCAACCATAGACTTATTATACTTCTACGGACTTTCAAAGATTGACAGACATATGTTCATTTGATTTCAAATATATTAGAGTTTACAAGTGTACCCATTTTGTTTTTGTTGTACTAAATCATGTATATTATGCAATAAGAATTGCAGTGCTATCTAGTATACTGGTCTTCGTGTTGCTTGTATTGTTTGTTGTGTTAAGTTTGCAACACAGGGGTTTGTTGTTCTGTAAAGGTTGTCTCTTAGGCAGTCCATGGGTGGCTTGCCCATCACTAGTCACATTTGGTTAGGTCATTTTTAGGACGTTTGCCAGCAGCTGCTTCCTGCTGTCATTGCAATATTGCAGTCCATTCACAATGTAATGCAATGTACTGTAAACGGGCAGAGGCCAGCTCTGGTTATTAGCAGAGTGAGAAGAAGCAATAGGAGTGACTGAGAGGGACACTAGGAAGTTGCAGCAGCAGCAGGAGGCAGACTGGAAGCAAGCAAAAAAAAACGTGTTCTAAGAGCAATAGGGTTTGCCCTGTTGTATAGAGGCAAAGATGAGTCAGATAGCAGAGACATGCAAACAAAGGCAAAGGGGCGGTGAAGGCTTCTTCAGCTCAGGAAGTGCAGAGATGGTGTTATAAAGTCAAGTGCTAAAAATAAATTGTCATGGCAATGGAGTCTTCAACGGTAGCTAGTCCTGCACCGATCAGTACATGTGAATATATCCCTAAGCAACCTAACAAACAGAGGTTGCTGGTGCAGAATCCCTATGCAGGTGCGTTCCCCACCCCCCGCAAATAATGTGGGAGTTACGTTCCAGGCCCCTACATGCATAATTGAAATTGCGTAAAGTGGGGAGAACCCTTTAAACACCCTCTCTGCCGCTCTCTCTCCAATCAATACAAAAAGTACTGTATCCAAAAATATCCGCAACTAGAATTGAAGTTCTGGGGCCAGCAGGAGGCTGGATGACGTGTGGGAAAGTGACTCTTGCTGCTGCACTACCCCACATGTCAGCTGTTAGGCTGAGCAACGTAAACAAAGCCCCGCTGCACCTCCGGTCTGTTTGGGGCTTCCTCCACCCTCACTGACATCCTCTTTGGGCTCCAGGGAGGGTCTTCTCATGAGCCACGAGGACCCTGCAGCTCTCTCTCACCATTTCCAGGTGTGAACCTGTTTGTTTATTTATTTCCCAGCAACACATATGTAAGTGGGGAGATGCCTGTACTTTGCAGGTCACTTAAATGTAACCACCATCCTGCTGTGATCAATAACAGCAGAATGTTAGCGCACACTGCTGATGCTGACCACATTGCATTACGGAACAAATCTAAGGGCACGCAGTCCTTCATTGTCCTGACATTTCCGCTTTCCTGTTGCAGATCGTGGATGGCAAACTGTGGTTCCAGCTGGACTGCGGAACCGGCCCGGGCATCTTGGGGATTTCCGGCAGAGCTGTTAATGATGGGAGCTGGCACTCGGTCTTCCTGGAGCTGAACCGGAATTTCACCAGCCTGTCGCTCGACGACAGCTACGTGGAGCGCCGCAAAGCCCCGCTCTACTTCCAGACGCTCAGCACCGACAGCTCAGTTTACTTCGGCGCCCAGGTGCAGGTGGACAACGTCCGGAGCCTGACGGACAAGAGAGCGACGCAGGTGTCGAGCGGCTTCCAGGGCTGCTTGGACTCCGTCGTCCTCAACAACAACGAGCTGCCGCTGCAGAACAAGCGCAGCAGTTTTGCAGAAGTGGTCGGCCTTACAGAGCTGAAGCTGGGCTGTGTGCTGTATCCGGACGCCTGCGAGAGGAGCCCGTGCCAGAATGGAGGGACTTGTCTGAGTGTGCCATCTGGTGGTGAATATCTTGCATTCAGCCTTACATTTCCGGAGGTGGCGGGGAGGGAGATTGGTTGAGCTTTAAGTTTCTCATACCAGCAGTCACCGTTAGAGGGGGAGGGGGCTGTTGAGAGAGAAAGAGGTTTTGTTGAACTAAGGAATGGCTTGGAATCAGCCTCTGCTTCCTTCTTGGCACAGAACTACCAGCTTAATAATCTGCCTCATTTCAATTAGCAACATCTTGCTGCATCCCTTGCAGCTCTGATCAATAGCATTGTCGGGTCGTTTGGCCATTATGGCAGGCTGCGTGGAAGCATTTCTGGAGCCGAGTAGGCTGGGTCACAACTGAGTTTGTGGCAGCAAAGGAGGCCTTCATAAGCATGAATACATCCGAATGGAAGTGCCACATCTAGCTGTTGCAAACATATACAGTGGACTCTCGGGTTACGTACCTCTCTGGATACGTAATCTCTGGGTTGTGAAAGCGGCAAACCCAGAAGTATTTTTTGGGTTTCGCCGCATGTCCAGAAGCGCTCTGCCTGCCACGCGCATGCACAGAAGTGCTCTATCACACCATGTGCAGAAGCGGCGCCTCTGGTTACAGATTTTTCAGGGTGCTCACGGACCCCCCAGAACAAATTAAATCCGTATCCAGAGGGTCCACTGTATCCCGGAAGAAGTGGAAGTACAGTGGTACCTTGAGTTACAAACGCTTCAGGTTACAAACGCTTCAGGTTACAGACTCCGCTAACCCGGAGTAGTACCTCAGGTTAAGAACTTTACTTCAGGATGAGAACAGAAATAGCGCACCAGTGGGAGGCCCCATTAGCTAAAGTGGTACCTCAGGTTAAGAACAGTTTCTGGTTAAGAACGGACCTCCGGAACAAATTATGTTCTTAACCAGAGGTACATGTACAATTCTTACAAATGACCTTCCTCTGCCTGGCTGCTGTTTGCGGGTCACTTTAAATGTGAACTGGTCCATAGAATCGTGACCTCAGACAGACCCAATAGCTCCCTTGTCCTAATCAAAAACATCTCTGAGATAGGATTGCCCCACAAATAGAGAGATAGAGAGCTAAGCAACAAACAGCTCTTCACACAAACTTGCTCTTGATCCCTTTGGGGATTTAGTTCATCACTAAAATAATATATACGTACGTTACTGTGATTAACAAAACAGATATTTATATGGCAAAACGTTTCCCTTTCCACCTTCGTCAGCTGCTCTGATTAAAAAAGAAACACACACACTGATGAAGGCGGAAATGTTTTGCCACAAAAATAAAATCTCTGTTTTGTTAATCACAGAAATATACACACACATATCTACATGCATACATATGCTTATTATTTCTTTGTCTGAGAATGCCTTCTGAGGTTCTGCATTTTGCTGAGATTCCTGCATTGCAGGGGGTTGGACTAGAAGACCCTCAGGGTCCCTTCCAACTCTGCAATTCCACGATTCTTGCTTTAGGCTGCAGTGCAAGCCCAAGCACTCAGGATTCCACTGTGCTGATGCATTCTTGTGCGAACCTAAGGTGTGTCTGCAGGCGCACAGCGACAGATGCAACTGTTTTGCATTCCCAGTTTGTCGTCTGCCGCAATATCACAAAGGGAAACTTGCGTAGATAAGATTCACAAGCTGGATGTGCAACTGAACGTCGCTCATCTCACTTCTACACCTGGAACCTGCAACAAAGCATGGCTGCCTATCCTCCTCTCTAAGAGGAGAGTGCTCCTCTTCAGGGTTCCAGGCAGCCAACTGTGCTGTCCTGCAGGATATGAGTAAGATGCAGGGAACTAAAGCAGGGAATCACTTCCAAATTCCCCACCATTTTTTCTCCTCCAGCTTTCACTCAACATTAAACGGCAATTGAACATGAGCAGTCCTCATTCAGCTACTGGGGAAGGAGGAGTTTCCCCCTTAGTTTTCTACTGTTGCAAATTTTGGGGTTCCCTTTGATGCCTCCCTCTTCCTTCTCAGTGGTCTCGTATCGGCGTCAAGTCTGTTGGCACTCACCACTTGGGTTCCCTGTTAGGAAGAGTTGCTCTTCAGCTATTACGACAGCAATGCTTTGCCTAGACATGGGGCATGCAAAATATGCAGTTTGTTGCAATGTCCAGATTGGCCCTGAGTCTTGGCCCGCGAGAGGGCATTCACGTCCTGAACCACCCAGGAACTGAATTTGAATTTCCCATGACCTGCATTTTCTCTCCCATCTGTCGATTGACCTGTCCAGGAGCCTTTCTCAGATTGTTGCTGTACACAGGACACTTCTCCCACACAGGGATGCAGGAAACCATAGAATCACAGAGTTGCCATGCCGGAATATGCAGCTGCCCCTTGTTTGGGGATCGAACCTGCAACCTTGGTATCATCAGCACCACGCTCCAACCAACTGAGCTATCATATGCTATGGAGGTTCAGGGGACACTTCAGCAATGCCAGGATGCTGCTCAGTAGCCGTCCTGCATGACCCTGATTCCCAATCTCAGTAGTTCTACCCATTTGGTTCTGAAAATCCCTGTGCGGTACGAATATTAACACTGACTCCTTTCTCGTTTGCTTTGGTTTAGCGGGGAGTGAGCTTGAGGGCATGTCAGCTGAACTGAAGATGGTGCCCAGAGAGCTGAAAGGTAGTGAATGTAAAAGCTTTAGCACATTAAACAAGTAAAGACAGCAGGCTTGGAATTTAATATGAGGCATCAGGGCGCATGTTGGGGCTAACTTGTATGTTTAATGGCTCTTTATCTGCAAATAGGAGGTTGAGGAAAGAGAGCACGTAGCAGGACCCAGCAAGGAAAGAAGGGTAATAATTCAAAAGATGTAGAAGCTTTCAAGGAAATTGCTAAACAAGATTATTTATGTCCCTGGGGAGTGAGGATAAAACAAATGCCTAACTTTAACTTGGACGGCGTATAATAAATTAGGTCAAGCGTTCGCCGCATGAATAAACTAAGTAAAAGGAGGAAACCAGGCTCCTCTTCCTATTGATTTCGCTGGAGTCTATTTACACGACCAGTCAGCAAATAGCGTGATGTGCAAATTGAAACCTTTCTAACAAATCACTTTAGGATAATTTCCCCCTTCTGTCCTCCCCCCAGGCAGAGTTAGATATTTCATATTTTACATTGGCTGCTGGGAGGGGAATGGGCTGCGTGAATACATCTCCAAATGATGGGTTCATTTTATTATGAGAGGCATATAAACAGCTCTGCGGTGAAATGGTTTGCCTCGCCATTCTCTGCTCCAGAGCTACTTAGGCCTCCATGCCTTCGTTGTTGCTGCTGCTGCCGCCGCTGCAAAGCGAACACCCTGGGGGGATATTTCAGCATGCAGGCTTGCTCTCTTTCTCTCTCGTTAGGAAATGTATTTGCTCTGGGTTTTTTTTCACTGTCTCAGCAGTATATGTAAATAAAGGATTGTTATGGTGCCATAATTCTAAAGCAATGGGCCCTAACTATGCGCCAGCCAATCTATAAAGCAATCTGCTGTGACATCGATGTGGCCACTCTTTGTTTTCTTTCCTCTCCCACCCCCAGTTCCAAGGCAAAATAAATTTGTTAGCCCAAGAGATCTTCTGCACATTAAAAAGAGCATACGTAATTAAATGGGGCTGGGTGCAAGGTCTCTGCTCTTTGTCAGATGCCCTCAAACTGCAGCCGTGTGTGGCAGAGGATTGCGTTTGCTGGAAGAGATGCTTGCGGCAGCCGCGTTAGAACGGGACTGAAGGCCTTTCCTCACATTACTCAGTCACTGTGAACCAGGGACATGTGTTGTAAACAAAACCTGCCCTTTTTCCCTTATGGGGTATCTAAGAGCCCGTACAGTGGTACCTCGGGTTAAGAACTTAATTCATTCTGGAGGTCCATTCTTAACCTGAAACTGTTTTTAACCTGAAGCACCACTTTAGCTAATGGGGCCACCTGCTGCTGCCGCGCCGCCAGAGCACAATTTCTGTTCTCATCCTGAAGCAAAGTTCTTAACCCAAGGTACTATTTTTGGGTTAGCAGAGTCTGTAACCTGAAGCATCTGTAACCCGAAGTACCACAGTATAGACTCCTCATGTGGGTTCCCTATTGGTAGGAGAAAATAACAGAGGCCAACCAGAGAATATTGAGAAGCAAAGCAGGTCGTAAGCCTGATCTTTATTAAAGCTGTTGCAACAAGGTGCTCCCCTCACGCAGAGGAGGATCCAGAACAAAGGTGTGCCTGCCCTTATACAGACATTTTAAATTCCCTGCCCTGGAGCTCAAGACCACCCCCCACAAACATCATACCTACATCACAGAAAAGGTGGTCTACAACAGAAATTTAAATGTTGTTTTTCCTGTCTGCCATATTATCTGATAATGCCTTATCTGATTGCCTTTCCTGGTAGTCTGGCCATTCCTTTGAGATGGTGATTACTAAATTCCTGTAACAAGGAAGGTTTTTTCACCTCCTCCCTCCTTGCAGAGAAACATTTGGTCAGCTTGGGAGTCAAAATGGTTTCAGTACTGTCTTCCTGTGCTGCTCCAGACCTGTGGTTTATATATTTATGTATGTATTTGCTTGGTACATTTATTACATATCTAAGACCTTAAAATTCTTATAACACATGTCATAAGAGGAGCCTGCCAGTTCAGGTCAATGGCCTGTCTAGTCCAGCATCCTGTTCTGACTGGCCAACCAGATGCCTGTGGGAAGTCTTCAAGCAGGACGGGAGCACAGCAGCACTCTGCCCACCTGCAATCCCCAGCTACTGGGGTATCCAGAGGCGCATTTGTGGCTTTGGGCCCTTGTATTTACTGGACCACCTCTCCTGGTATGCCCAGCAGAGGACCTTAAGGTCCATGAATAACCATAGTTTAGAGGCCCCAGGCCCTAAGGAAGTCAGATTATCCTCCGCCAGGGCCTTCTCAGTGATGGCTCCGACCTGTTGGAATGCTCTGTCCCATGAGACCAGGGCCCTGCAGGATTTAGCCTCCTTCCGCAGGGTCTGTAAGACAGAGCTATTCTACCTGGCTTTCAATTTGAATTTAGCCTGATCTTTTATTCCCCTTCCTTCCCTCCCCCTCCCCTTTTTATGAAGATCACCTGCTCTGGGATCCCACAGCTAATTCTCCCCTGGTCTCCTCGCTGGCCGAAATAGGACTAATTTAGCCAACTAGCCCTGGTGATCATCTAACGTTTATTGGATGGATTTTCCCCTAAATTGATTTTTGATTTTTGAATTTAATATTATTCACGCTTTTATACTGTATTTTATGCTGGTTTTTTTTTGTTGTATCACAATTAAGTGTTTTAAATTTGTTGTTAGCCGCCCTGAGCCTGGTTTTCTGAACCGGGAAAGGCGGAGTATAAATAAAATTATCATCATCATCATCATCATCTCTGACAGTAGAGGCAGAACATGACCATTGTGCTAGTAGCCATTGAAAGCCCCCACCCCACCCCCCGAATTTGGCCAGCCCTCTATAAAGCCATCCAGGCTGGTGGCTTTCACTGCCTCCTCTCTGGAAGTGAGTCCCATAGTCTGTTCTGTCCCCATTTCCACGTTAATCTGTGAATGTTGCTTTTAAAAGTCCCTCGTGTAAAATGTTAGATTTAGAGGGGCAAAAATAAAAACAGGTTATCCCTCTGAATAATGCATTTAAAAAAAAGCCCACTCTCCTTCCTTGGAGATTTTTAAGCAGAGGTTGGATGGCCATGTGCCAAGGATGCTTGAGCTGAGATTCCTACATGGCAATGGGGCTGGACTAGATGACCCCTGGGGGTCCCTTTCCAACTCTATGATTCCGTGATTCCAAGCATTTGTTTTTAAACATCATTTTAATGCTTTTTTTAAATATGAGAATTTTGTTGGAACATTAAAAAAAAATATCCAAAAGCCATTGGATATCTAAGCTCAGGTTCACATATCAATTTATATTAGAATTCAGAAAGGTCAAATTTCTAAAACTCCCCTGCCCCCTAATGCAAGGGTGTGGGTGGTACACATGTCTGTAAATACAAGTTTCTTCTCTTCTCTTCTCTTCTCTTGTTGTTCACGCTTCATCTGGTCAAGTGTACATCTCAGGTGCAAACAAATAAATAATGTCATGTATGAATCAGCCCAAAAATAGCATGCAGGAAGCAAAGGTATTCATTTATTCCACTTCAGAAAGGAAGCCTCTGTTTACCTTTCAGAAAAGATTTAAACCAAAGCATTGTATTTGGTTGCTTGATGGAATTAAAGGATTCTTAAATCAGAGTTCTCCAGCTAACTGGTTGTGGATTTAAGCTGGTTTGTGCATTTGTTGTCAGCAAAAAGGATCAAATAACTGAATCAAGCCCTATTTGTGATTCCTGTGTAAGACACTGTTGTAACTTCATCAGCTTCTGTGCAGTTTGAGAGATAAAAGATGAAATATCTCTTGAAACCATATTGAAGGGATAGTCATTTATGCATTGGCTTCAGTCAAATTAACCTGTTTTTACTGATGGATTGGCAGTGCTTATTTTTGTCATGTCGGGAAAATATTTTGGGCATTGTGCGATTGCGTCCATTGGTTCCAGTGGGTTTACTCCGAGTATGACTTACCAAGATATCACCCATTGGCAGAAAAGTTGCAGGTGGCATTTAACATTCCGCACAATATCCTTTTTGTACATTGCAAACACACCACCTGCCAAATACAGAAACAGCTGTGCTAGTAGTTGATGGCACTTGTTTGCGGCCACCAGAAGCTTCTCTCACTTTTCATTCACACATGATGATGAAATCAGCTCCTGTATTTCACGTAGCTGTGAAATTCAGCGTGTGCATTGACTAGAATTTGCATTCAATTTTACACTAGTTGCCTCTTGCTTTTTATCTTCCACCAACAGCAATATCAAGCAGCACATTCCAAACTGAAAGGCATTCTTGGAATCGCTTTTGAGAATCCCCCAGTTCATCTGCTGGACCCAGCTTGTGACCCTTACTAAGCCAAATATAGCCCATCCCTCCCATACATGGCTCACCAGAACATTAAACCGAGCATTGCAAAAACAGCATTCAGCTTAGGGAGAAGATCACAACTTAAACGGGCGTGTTATAGAACAGGTACGGGTAACCTGTGGCCCTACAAGTGTTGTTGAACCACAACTCCCATAATTCCTGACCATTTGCCACATTCACGGAGGCTGATGGGAGCTGGAGACCAGCAATACATGGAGGGCTGCAAGTTCCCCACTCCTCTTGTGGAGAAAGAGTATTGCAATAAGATGGGTCAGCTATTATCCATAAGTATGGCTACTCTGTGATAGTGTTAAAGAAACACTGGTTTTTTTATTAAAAAAACTCACCCCATTGGTCTTCTTTTATATTAAGCTTAAATGTCCTTCAACCTCTTTGTTAAAAAAAGATTGCCATCAACATGGGATCTCTAAAATCATTGTCACCTAAGGT